TCTATTTATTATTGTATTATTTTGTATTAATATATATTTTTTATTAATTTATTTTAATATAAATTAATTAGACAGGTATGTAGAAATGCCAATCATTTCTCATTTTATTTAGCTATTAAAATAATGTAGACTAACATATTCGTATTAATGCAAATTTATAATGATATATACATTTAATAACGATACGGTTATAAATTAGCTCATTTTCATAAAAAATACAATCATACTGAAATAAAAGTATAATATATTAAAAATTTATTTCATTATGGATGTAGTTTTTTATTAATATGGTATATACAGTATGTTATTATAATGAAAGCCACTGGCCATCAATAACTACATGCATATTACGCATGCAATATTGACAGCTGATACTCATCATAATCCGATCATGTTAATATCTTACATTGTAGGCCCGTCGTCCTCTGTGCTCCAGGTCTCTGGGCGTGTTTGGTAGGTACTCGAACCTGCTTCCGTCTCTATGGGTCCCGGGGAGGGTCAAGTGATTGTAGTACGTCCTGAGAACACAACAAACACTCCTATATTACACTCATAAATATCTGTAGGAACAACATCAAATTGGAACAGACAACACTTATTAGTCTAAAATGTCCCTAATGCACAATATTGACTTAAGCTAATGTAAGACTCTGCACTCAAAACTTCTTCTCAGTTATTGAATTGGGCAGCAAATAGTTCATTTGGCAACTAAATGATTCATTTTAGGAGCTAATGCCTCCCTAGTCATGTTTTTAGTCTGGAGCCACAGCATCCTTGATGTTTTCTTCTAAAAAGGAAGGGATCTCAATTGTCCAAACGTCTTTGCTGTATGAATTCTGCAGTGTGTTAATCACATGAAGCTGTAAAATGCAATGAAACGATATAATATGCTTGCGTGCGCATTCACATGCGCGTGAATGCAAAACCTAGCGTGACATGCTAAAGACGGCTCTTGACGGAGCACGAAGGATGGGAACACATCAGATGTGTTTTCGAGTTTGAAATCCTATCCATAACTGGACCTGCTCCTCGGACATTCCCACTGGTCAAATTTTGGTCACATGACCAAGTGTTACTTTCAAAAACCCTTGCGTTTTTGGCTCTTGAGAATCAGTTCGTTTAACGAATCAGCCAAGCTTGTTTTGAATCACACGCGCTCAGTAAATCGTTTACGGAGTTCAGATTCATCAGGTAAATAACTAGAAGAATAACAAAACATGCAATAAATGGTAAAACTATTTGGGTTACAAATGAGTTTGATTATGGTTATGAAAATAATATGATAACAAGTACTAGTTGAAGCAGCATAATGGACAGTTTTTGTTCAGGAAAAATAACTATAATAGAATAAAAGCCAGTTTGCACCAAGGACGATAACTATAACGATAGCTATGTTTTAATAATCGTTCAAATTCAGTGAGAACAGGGAAGTCCACACCACAACTATAACAATAACACAGAGTTACGATGTCATTGGAATCATCAATGATGATGAATGGTAAAGCAACTGACAGCCAATCAGAATCCAGCTCAAGCATTTAAAGCTGCAGACGACAAAACTAATATAGTTATTGTTTTTATCGTTCTTGGAATGAACGCCAGAAACCTTGCACATTCATGTGAAAAATGCCTGCGTTTGCTCTCACGTTAAAAATAATTACGCATGCACTCTAAAAAGTCGTTCACACAAAACACACTCTTCATTTCAATTAGCAACAGAATTTAAACGAATGCAATAAGTTACTAATTTTTACTTAATAGAATCTCAAAAACGCAATGCTCATAAAATGAATAGACGAATAGCATTTTTAGGGCTAGATCTATTAACAGCTTGCGCCCGCGCAAACGGTCTTTTGGCGTTAAAATAGTAGTGTCAAGATTTACTAAAGACGCGCGGTAAAGAATTAGCGTTGAAAAGGCGTGGACGCAAAATTTAAGGGAGGAGAGTATTAAAATGAATCACGCAACACGATTTACTAACGCATCGTTAAAATAGTCCATGTGTCATCAGTGGTTCAACCGTAATTTTATGAAGCTACGAGAATACTTTTTGTGCGTAGTAACGCACGCACGCACGCACACACTCACTCGCACATGTTATTCTCATGATGCAAATAATGGTACATCTTCATACCAACACACATCACTGCATGAGTCACAGGAGAGAGACGGCACGTGTGTGTGTGTGTGTGTGTGTGTGTGTGTGTGTGTGTGTGTGAAACAAGACGTGGTGTATCAGCATCAGTGTCACTCCTGATCACCATCAGCACACACACACTCGTGAGCATTTACACACACACACACACCAGACTCACCCCCATCCCGTCACCCGTCCACGGCCCTGACAGCCGACAGCCCATCACCACGGCAACAGATGAGCAGGATCGTGCGCCGATGCTGTGAATTCACTGATGAAGATGAAGATGATGAAGGAGCGACGCAGCCGCTGCCAGCATACGTGAACACACACACACACACACACACAAAGCTACGAGAATACTTTTTGTGCGTAGTATACTCGTAGCTTCATAAAATTACGGTTGAATCACTGATGTCACATTTTAACGATGCGCTTGCTACGTTTCTGTGCCCTGATTATGGTAGTTCCGTTGCTGTCTATGGAGGGTCAGAGAGCTCTCAGATTTGATCAAAAATACCTTAATTTGTGTTCTGAAGATGAACGAAGGTCTTACGGGGTTTGGACCGACATGAGGGTGAGGCATTAATGACAGAATTTTCACTTTTGGGTGAACTAACCCTTTAATGTGTGCATTGTCAGTAAATCACACACAGAACATTCCCCTACCAATGGTGCTTTTATGGAACTGGGTTTTAATGTTAATTTAGTAAATCTGGCCCTTAGTAACTATTAAAAGACTGTGTCGTGTGTGAACGGCCTCTTAAGTGCACGTCTGTGTTTGTCCTGCAGGGGGCAGCGGTGAGCTGCAGGTGTGTCACACCTGTCCGAGGGAGGCAGTCGCGGCAGGGTGCATGAATTCGGCCGGAGAGGGTCCCACGGTCGCTCCGTCTGCGTGCTGCAGTCCGTCGTCCTGTTGTACTGCAGGCTCCGCCCCCGGCCCTCAATCTGAAGCGTGATTGGCTGCTCGTAGCTGGCCAGGATACGGAAGGCCTCTCGCTTCTGCAGATGGGTCAGATCCCGACCGTGAACCTGAACGACAGGACAAACGCGGTGACCGGAAAGATCGAGATTAATTTGAGCCCTCGTTTAAGCGCGGATCCGTATGCTCTATTTCACCTGATTCGCTTTATCTCACGCACACACTACTATAGTGAAGCGCAGCTGTGTAAACATACCCCCCCCACCCCAGCAGACGACCCGATCTGTTCAGGACTGAACTGAACCTCAGGCACACACACACACACACACACACACACACACTCTCACACACTCTCCCTCACACTCACTCACACA